TGCCATAGTCATTTCTGCAAGTCACAGAGGCGCCGCCCTGGCCTTGAACGCACAGGAGTGAAAGTCAGTGATTGATCCATGATCGAAGGTAAGATTCGTCTGTACCTCGAGCATCATGAACACGATCTTGAGATGGTTTGCTTTGCAAGCAAAATGTAGAGGAGTGTTCCCGAATTCTCCCACCACATCCAGTTTAGCCCCTCGGCTCAGCATCGTTCTAACCATTTCCTCTTGTCCCCTAAGTGCCTGTTCCAGGAACCAGGTATGCTCAACTGAAACAGAGAAGAAGAAAAACAGAAAGAGATTTCTTACGGCCCAGTGAAGTGCAGTGTCTCCACATTTATTCTGAGGCTTCACGTCTGCTCCTTTGGACAGCAGAAAATTCGCCATCTCGATGTGATTGATCTTGAGCGCTATAATCCTGACGAACAAACGAGAAATGGAATCAAACAAACGAGGCAAGGCTTACAAGGGAGTGTTGAGAGTGATTGGATTGGGGCAGTTCACGTCTTGCTTGTTCTCTATCGTTGCCCGGACTTCGTCCAGGCTCTCCTCTTCCGTGGCTTCCCACACCGATTTTGGAGGCGGCCGATCGGCAAAGGGATCTTCATCCAACTCCTGGCAGGGAGAAGACGATCAAGCCGCCATCAAAGAAGCGAAAAAGAGACTCACAGCCACATCCATCCCTAGGTTAGGGCAAAACAATGGCGGAGTGTAGCATTAAGAATATTCTGTGATATACAAATGTGTAATTCTGGTAACACTTCACAAAATCAATACTACCTGTAGACATAGCGAGGTTGAAGTTTGCAGATTGGAGACCCACCTACAATGCATAAAGTGATACAGAGGAATAATAGGAGCTCCACTACTCCCTCCCACACTAGAGTTCCTCCTCAGTGTGAATGTGGTTGCATGAATTGGCCCTTTGTCTAATAGCTCTCCATGGACGACACTTTTAAACCTAAACTCCAACTACTGATATAATTCCTCTTTTCGTCCGTGACAATGCGATATATTTGCCATATTCCATTGCCCTTCTCACGACTTTTATGAGCTCGTCATAAGCATCAAAGAGAAAACTTCCTGTGCAAGGATATAAATATGATGCTGTAAAAGTTTCATTCTCAGGGAGTTTATCCAGAGAACACAGGCAGCAAGAAATCACCCTTGGCCACCAAGAAACAAGCGAAGTCTCCATTGTTGTTGGCCAAGGCTAAAGGAGTTGTCGAGCATGAAAAATCCTGCCTGCTTGAACGCTTCGAATGGAGTTTCACCATATTTCCTAGAGACACATGTCCTGCTGTGAACTGGCGTGACTCAAAAAGATGTGAACACCAGGTTTGCTTCTTGAACAGCTTCATAGAAGGGCTGTTCTCCTTCATCATAATTTCATGAATCCTATGAACCTGGGTCTCAGCTTAAGTTTCACATGATTTCTCCTTAAGCTCCATCTTTAACAAAATAAACCCTATCTCCAAGCAATATACTTGAAATATTCTTAGACCTTTTTTACAAGGCCCTATGGAACTGAGAAACGCTACAATCCGGCGTGAGGATAGACGATGCCTCGTATCGATCGGCTCGAGCACCCAGCGTCGGCATCGCGATGCCTTCCTCCTTGATGGGCGATCTCCAATCGGCCGCGTAAGTCTGCCCAAGAAGGCCTTCCACTCGCGAGCCAAGGCCCGCGAACTGGAAGTTAACTTCGAGATGCGCGAAGCAGTCGTCGCCCGAGATCTCGTAACCGTGAACCCGCGACTCCTCCTTGGAGATGGGAACAATCGCCACCGACGCGTTGAGAGCGCCCGGGATGAAAACGCTGAGCGAATTCGTCGCCTCCAACCGAGTGAGCTTCACAGGCCCCGACTCGGCCTCCCAGACCGCCCCGGTTCCTTGCTCGATGCTCACGGCATTGCTGTCGAAGTGGACGAGAAAGTGGTCCTTTGCTCCATCCCAAGTCGCCACTCTCCTGGCCCCGACGTAGAGCTTGTGGGGACCAAAGAGAATGCCGAGAGCTTGAATCCAGGTGAAGTCCCTGCTCCTGCCAGGAGGCCTCTTGCCGATCAAGTGAGCGTTCAAATGGAAGCTAGAGTCCGAGACGAGGCAAAAGTTCTTATCTTTCTCGCCGTGGAAGTAGAAGGTAACTCCATCCCCGCCAATGAATCGTGGGTCTTGACAGACCGACCCAATCTTGTTGCATCTCGCTGAGAAAGAAGGAAAAGTGAGCAAGATATCACGAAGAACAAAATCTAAGAACTTGTTTTACGTACGGCAGTAGATCATCCCGCAAAACTTGCACGAGAGATGGCACCGCGGGCAAGTGCTCGGACAGGAGATCTTGCCGCTGCACTGCGAAATCCAGCCATCGTCAGCGGGAGTCTCGGCTCGGCAGTGCTTCTCTCTGGGAGCTCCCGGCTTACGGGGATGTTCCTGCTCAGCTCCAACACCACCACAAACGTAAGCTACGACGAGGATCAAAGCTCCTACTGCTATGCTCCGGACAGCCATAGCTCCCTAAAGAATGTCACACTGCTACAGCTCTATCTACCTTCACTCTGAACAGAATTTACCACGGGGTGCATGTGAACTCTGGGAGAGTTACAGCGCTTTTCTGACCCAGTGCGTACATTTCTGGCACTGGCAAAAGCAGCAGAGCACAGCTTAGAATTACTTTCAACCAGGTGAGCTAACCTCGAGGGACAAACCAGCTTTGTTTGTAGTACACACCAAAGAACCGAGTCGTGTGTATTCGACGAGCCCTCAACCGGCCTGGAACTGGAATTCAACCCCACTTTAAAAACAAGTCAAAATTTTTGCGTCACTCCAACCCTCAAGAGCAAGAAAACGAAATGCTCCATTACGAGTCTAGGCCGTTTCTTGCACGGGAAACTCAAATGCCACATCCTTGCCAGTCAGTTTCTTGTAGACACCCGAGTACGTCTCCAACTTGTACTCGGTGCTGTTGCGTTCCTTGGGGTCAAGGTAGACCTGCAAAAACGTTTCGAGCTCGTCACTAGAACGCCGGAAATGAAGGGGAGTTTTCTTACCTTCAACACTCTGGAGCCATCCAAGCGGTACCGGATGCGCTTGCCAACAATTTCCGTGGGGTAAACCAGGTCTTCGAGAATGGCGTCGTGCACGGCAGTGAGGGTCCGGCTCCTTGGTCTGGAGACGGCGGCGCCCTTCCTCGGCGGCCTCAAGATGCGCCTGGTTGCGATCAAGATCACGTCCTAAAGTACCACGCAAAACTATTAGCGAGCTGGCCTAGAAAAGCTTGGAAAACCATAGCTTACCTTGCCACTGAATTTCTTCTCGAGCTCACGCACCAGTCTGGGTTGGATCTTCTGATACGCCTTTCTCAAGCGGTAAGGTACGTGGATCACGACCGCCTTGCGATTGCTGGACACGTCAATTTCCCTGCGAAGAATAAACACAAGCTTAGAGCTCACGAATGATTTCAAAGAATTAACATACTTTGCTGAATTGATAGAGAGGTCGCGCAAGTCGCCTCGGAGCTCCTGATTAGCGCCCTCAAGCTCTGATAGCGCCTGAGCAAAAACAAAAGGGACTTACTTCATGCAATGCCTCACTAGATCTCTCCCAAACCTGCGCAACCGTGAGCTCGAAAGCATCCGGCTCCTGGCCCTCCTCCTTCTGGATCTTCTTGCGCGCAGACATTGTGGCGGCTCTCTACCTGCAAACGCGAATTTAGAACGAAATCCATCGCCAGCGCCAAACTTGCCTCGCGCTTTGCCGAGAGAGGACGCGCCGCAGCCGACGAAAGAGGGAGCTAAACCCTAACTCGGCCGCCTCCAGTAAACCCTTAGGTTTATAAGCCACGTAGGATCACCGTTGGATCATAGCGATGCGAAGATCTTACGGTCTAGGGCAAACCCTCTAGGGTTAGGTCAAAATAAGAACAGAGCATTTTCAAATTCTTAGTTTTCGCGCTAGAAGCTACCAGCAAAGCTCGAGCTCCGGATGAACGTCTTGCCCCAATCTCTGGTACTTCCCTCCCAATTTCCCTCCTCCTCCTCCTCCACTGGCGCCCAATTCCTTGCGGATCTGCGATTCGTGCTCTTGCTGCCACACCTTCAATCGCCGGATCTCGTCGCGGAGGTACTCGGCGTACTGCGACGCCGTGCAAATCCTCCCTCCGTAGAAATCCCATCCATCCTTACCTCCCCACTTCCCATTCCCGCCTGGGCGGCTCACTTTCACCGAGGCGCCTGGATCGAGCGTGAGATTGCATCCCTCGGCCTCGGGAACTTCCAGCACGGTCTGATGATCCGGCGCTACTGCTGCTGCCGCTGGTGCTACTTCTCCTCCTGCAGTAACTTTGTTCTTCGAGACTCCTTTGGTGTTGGAAGCTGGCGGGGGATTTCTAGCAGCCGTGGCGTCTTGCTTCCTCTGGAATCCTCCCGGGAAATCGAGCAGCTGTTCCTTTCCTCCCCGGTACCGCTTTGGAGAGGCCTTCTGCCCGTCTTTGGCTTTGCCATCCGCCGAGGCCAGCTGCTTGCGAGCATCCGTCAAGTAGCGTATCAAGTTGTTGCAAATCTCCCACGTCGAGCTGCAAGATCCCTTCCAGATGGGACCCTTTGGAGCGATGGGCTTGCTCTTGTCCTCTTTGAGAGCTTGCATATGGTGCGAGAGCTGCGATTCCAGTTCTTGGAGTTCCTTCTGGATTGATGCCTGGTTACAAAGAGATCACTGTTTAGATCGAGGTGGGAAGAACGAAAGCTGCAAACCTGGAGATTTTGTAGCTTCTTCACGCCAGACCACCTCGAAAACTCGCGAGGATTGGTGCTCTGCCTTACTCGGTTCTCCCAAGCGAGATAGTCTCCCTTGCCACCCGACGATCCCCACGCTTTCCTGGGCTTGCCACCGCTACCAGCGGCACTACTATCGTCTTTCTTCTTCCTCTTCGGGGACGGAGCCGACCTGTTGGAATCCACGTCGTTCTTGAAAGCCGAGGACTTCTTCGTCGGATCCACCGATCCATCCTGTCCACCCGACCTGTTCTTGCGGAGAGCATGCATCTCCCACCGGAAGAAGCAGCGCTCGAGCAGCCTCCTCTGCCCGACTCGCCGGATCCACCAGGGGAGTGCGCTGACCATCTTCTCGAGCGAAGTTATCATCGAGATGGCCTTCTTCTCAAGACGAACAGCTCGAGCATACGCTCGCCAGGCCGTCATCACAGCCGGGACCACTGACTGATTCTTATCGCCCTCCGAGGTCGAGCAAACACACGTCTTCTTCTTACACCCCGAGCAAGTCGACGACGACGACGACTTATGGCTGCCATTCGGTCGCTCGCTCTCGGTATCCTCTAGCTTCTTCGCCATGATATCTGACTTGAGAGCCTCGGCAGCCCAGCGCCACTTCCATACCACCCATTTCTTGAGCTTTCCCAAGTCCCGTTTGACGCTGGAGCAAGCTTTGGATGTCTTAGCTTCGTATTCGAGCAGCTTCTTCTTCTCCTCCTCTTCATCTGGATCGTAGCGAGCGTCTTCTTTCATCGAGGCCCCGAGCGTGTTCATGTGTCCTTTGAGCTTCCGGAGCTCGTCTGGTCGTCTAGCTCCCCTTGCAGAGGAGCGGCCTTCCGAGGATCCATGCGTGGAAGTTCCCTGAGACAAGCTTGGAAAACTTGTGCGAGAAAACCTTCATGTTTACCTCGTGAGAATGAGAGCACTGATCTTGCCGCTCGTCGTGTTCTTCGTCCTCGTCCACGTTGCTCGCGGCCTCTTTCATCTCGTTAAGTTTGCTTTCGTGCACCAGCTCGTTGCACCTGTCCATCAGTGTTGCAAGTTCCATCTGTTAGAATCACCATCGTTAGAAGCTCGCTCCCACACAAACGAGAGAAGACAGGAAGAAAGAAGAACAAGCGAACGAAGAAAAGATAAATACCCGAGTGCTTTTATGTTCTTGCTCGACAAACCGAACGAACCTCGATCGCATGCTTCACTGCTCGCTCCTCTTGCACTTGCTTCTGTAGATTCCGGAGCTCCATCCGATGGTCGCGCTCCAGAGAATGCATATGTTTCTTCTGGGACGCCTGGAGCTCGGCAATCCTGGCAAACTCGTTGTGGAGCTTACCGAGCTGTTCTCTCTGTGTGGCCACTTCCTCGTTCTTTCGAGCGAGCTGTGGTTACAAGCCATCAAGAAAACCGTAGAGAAATGCCGAAGAACGCTCCATACCTCTTTGAGAAGCCTTCTTTCAGCTCGATCATGGCGCGATTCAGCAGAGCGCTCGGATTTACTTGCCTCGGATCGCCCGGATCTTGACGGCGCTCTGCTCGATTCAGCTCTCTCGGAGCTCTTGCCCTTGCTGCCCCTAAAGAATTTCATCCTCGAGGGAGCCCTAATCCTTCATCTCCAAAAACGGTACAATGACGTGGCAAGTGCTTTTACCGTTATTTGTGTCCACGTGGCAAGGATAAAGCCCTAAGGGTTTAAAGCTAAAACCCCCGGGAATGCTCTGGCTATGGCGGCCACTCTCGCGTCCTCGTGACTGTGGCGGGGAAGAAGCGGCGGCGGCCCCCTGAATCCAGGTATGAGTATTTCCAGGATGGCGCTTCAATCCGGCGCCTCGACTTCGCCGTTGTCGGGCAATCGGCTGCTTCTTCGATCAAACCCTGATTATCTCTTCCAGCAGCGCCGCATTTTCCCAGCTCACTGTTCTTCGTCTTCATCCTCCACTCCCGCGCCTGCCGATGACCAAAATCACCAGAACAGCAGCGGCATTGCTAGGGTGAGGACGCTATCTCAGCGACGAAGAGAGCTCCCTTGGCAGACGAGACCAGACGAGGGAGCTGCGGGCAATTTCAATGGAAATCTAGGCTTTGGAGCTCCAAGTCCGCAGAGAACTCCATGGGATCAGAGCACTCCAACGCCACTGGCGAACAAGTCGAACAGATTCCCCCGGCCCAAGCCCGACGCTGGAAATGGGAGCTCCCACTCTCACATGCTCAACATTGTGGAGAAGCTGCGCGCTATCGAGCGGAAGCAAAGGAGCTACAGCACCCACGTGGTTCCACCGGATACTACTGCCGCTCCATTCTCTGAAAGCTCGAGCCTGGAGGGCAGGGACTCTACCAGCCAGCAAGGGAGCTTTCCATGGCAGCGTGAATCATCGTCCGAGGCACCGACTCCTGTGACGCGACCGCAGCCGCCAAAGCTTCCATGCCTGGCGGAGCTAACGATTCCGGAGCTGGAGCTGAGGAGATTGCAACGCATTGCTATCCGGGTTGTCAATCCGATCAAAGTCGGCTATCTCGGGGTCACCAAAGCAGTCGTTCAAGATATCCATCGCCGCTGGCAGAAATGCGAGGTAGTGAAAATCCAGTGCGATGGTCCGGCAGCGATAAACATGAAACAAACGCACGACGAACTAGAGGTAATGCTGTCTTTCTATTTCTCTTTTTCATAGCATTCACACTCGTGTTCTTATATGGTTGCTGTAGACAAAAACTGGTGGCTTAGTAGTATGGAGAACTGGAGGAATGGCCATTTTATATCGGGGGAAAGGATACTTTGCTCGCGTTGACAACTCTATGGTGGCGAACTTGAAAAAATATCAACGGAGAAAGATAAATTTGATGGAGGCTATAAAGATCAGAGATGAGGACGAGGATCGTGACTACAGCCAGTCAGAGCATGGAGAAGCTCGGCGGGACTCCGAGAAAGGCAACATTGAAGACGAATACTTGGATGAGATTGATGCTCTCTTGGAGGAGCTTGGTCCACGCTACGATGATTGGATTGGAAGGAAGCCCGTGCCTGTTGATGGAGATTTGTTGCCAGCGTCTGTTCCCGGATACAAGCCGCCGCTCAGGATGCTGCCGTACAGAGCCAAAAAGAACTTGTCAAACATGGAGCTGACAGTCTTACGAAGGCTTGTGAAACCGCTTCCTCCACACTTCGTCCTTGGTAAATGACTGAGTGCTTGAAATGATGCTAACGTAGCTTCATTTCAATTGTGGCAACAGGTCGGAACCGAGGATTGCAAGGCTTGGCTTCTGCTATTTTGAAACTGTGGCAGAAAAGCGAATTAGTTAAAATCGGTCTGAAAAGAGGTGTTCAAAACACGAGGAATCAGCTCATGGCTGAAGAACTGGAGGTATGTGTGACTTTCGCTCGTCATGAATTGATTTTTGCTGTTACAGAGGCTTACCGGAGGAGTTTTACTCTCAAGGGACAAGTTTTTTATCACTTTGTACCGTGGGAAGGACTTCCTTCCAACGTCAGTGGCAGCTGTACTTAGAGAACGCGAGTCAAATATGAGAGAACTCCTTCTCAAAGAGGATCAAGTTCGAATACCAGCGCAGATCGGTGATGGACAAAACAGAACGACACCTGTATCAGGTTCACTGAGCGAGTCAATGGAGATGAGGAGGCAATGGGAAGCACAGAGAAGCGAGAAAGATGACGAAATGGACAGGAATGCCGCAGTTGTAGCTCTGAAAGTGAGAGAACAGAAGCGATTGGAGGCAAAACTTGCTGCGGTAAGCTGTCCATTGTGTGAACTTGTAGCGAGGTACTGACCGTGGACGTTGCAGGCCATATCCAAGAAAAGGAGAGCTGACTTGCAGATAGTGAAACTTGAGCGATCTTTGCTGTTGTCTGAGCATCCTCGCGATCGGGAGACCATCACGGAAGAGGAGCGTTACATGTTTAAGAAGCTGGGACTAAGGATGGACGCATTTCTACTTATCGGTAAATTGTCTTTGTTTTTCCTAGATCTTTTGTGAGCAAGAACCATGTATGCAGGTAGACGAGGAGTATTTGATGGTGTTATTGAAAATATGCATCTACATTGGAAACACAGAGAGTTGGTAAAGCTTATTCTTAAGGAGAAAGATAAGGCGATAGCTTTGGAAGTGGCGAAGATGCTGGAAATTGAAAGCGGTGGCATCTTGGTGGGAGTAGTAACTACGTCCAAGGGTCAAGCGATTATTGTGTACAGGGGGAAGAATTACCAACGTCCAGCTGAATTAAGACCGCGTAGCCTGCTCACGAAACGCAAAGCTTTAGCTCGATCTAAAGAAATTCAACGAAAGAAGGTGTGCTTTACATTTTTTCTTTCTTTTTTTCTCGTCGTCTAAGCACTTTTTCTTACTTTCTTTTTACAGGCTCTTCAACTCCATATCGAGAAGCTCGAGGAGCTGATAATGAAGCTCCGAAAAGACTACGTAAGTACTCCCGCGGCAGTAGCTTTTAAAGTTTCTGGTTCTCACCAACAACCAACTCATTGGAATTTTTACAGGACTATCTTCTCAAGAGCAATGCTCTGCCAGACACACCGCATAGTGCGCTGTACAAGGCGATTGATTCCAAGGTACGTAAGCTACCAACCAAACTTTTTCTCATACAATGTTCGATTCAAATCTTTCGTCGATGCGTAACTTTGCTTTCTCGCTTGTACAGTACCAAGAGGATGATATAGATGGCGAGTTGTTGGCCGACAGGAAGAAGCTCCACCACGACGACGATGATGAAATGGCCTACAGCGACGATCTGCTCGACAGTGAGATTAGCAGTGATGGCAGCGAGTCCGAGGCTGAGCGATTCCGTCCTCCTGAAGAGGCCGGTGACGACGAAGAGGAGGAGGAAAGTGAGTGGGATCTCGAATCCGAGGAGGACGAGGACGATTGAATTCTCAGAAAAGGCGACGGTGGTGCATATACGGTAGCAAGAAGAGAAGCTCAACACGTGGGGTGAAGTAAAAACTTGACTGTGTCTCCCCGACAACGAGGACAGCAAGTTTTTTCTTTTGGTGCCCCTCTATTGGGTGAGGCGGACCGCTTCACGATCGAGAAGTGGGGGTGACTATTCTGGATCCGGCAAAGTCCTCTGAGCATGAATGGATTCGTGGACATGAATCAGAAGATCGACTATGTCTTCAAGGTGGTTCTGATTGGGGACTCGGCGGTAGGAAAGTCGCAGCTGCTAGCCAGGTTCTCCAGGAACGAGTTCACTCTGGAATCCAAGGCAACGATCGGCGTCGAGTTCCAGACCCGGACCATGGTGGTGGATCACAAGACGATCAAGGCACAGATCTGGGACACCGCCGGTCAAGAGAGGTACTTCTAGCCTAGAGAGTTTTTTTCCTCTTCCAAAATCACATTTTTATTAGCGCTCATCGATCAAACTTCCAGGTACCGAGCGATTACCAGTGCGTACTACCGCGGAGCAGTGGGAGCGCTGGTGGTCTACGACATCACCAAGCGGCCAACGTTCGAGCACGTCACAAGGTGGTTGGAGGAGCTCAAAGTTCACGCTGACAACAACATCGTGGTGATGCTGGTGGGTAACAAATCTGATCTAGGCAACTTGCGAGCGGTGTCTGTGGAGGAAGCCAAGGATCTGGCCGAGAGAGAGGAGCTCTTCTTCATGGAGACGTCGGCCCTGGAAGCCACCAACGTCGACAGCGCCTTCTTCTCGGTGCTCACGGAGATTTACAGGATTGTCAGTAAGAAGAGCCTCTCCGAGGGCGCTGGTGGTAGCCAGCAAATTCCAATACCGGGGACAACACTCCTACTGTCCGAGAAGAAAGAGTCCAAGACCGGGTGCTGCTAAAGTTTTTGCATTTGTACCGCGCGGTACCGTCAGAACGCTTGAAAAAACACGTTTCATGCCGCGCAAGGTGCTGTCAAGCTCTTTGTCTTGTACCGCGCGGTACCGTTGGAACGCTTGAAATAAAGAACACCGCGCAAGGTAGATGGTTTATAATGTGCCGCACGTTACTGTCGAATCTTGCATTTTACCGCGCTGTACTGCCGGCGGCACGGTGTACCGCACGGTACAGGCAAGAGGTCGTTACTTAGGGCTGATTTGGACGCTGGTGGCACATTGAAAGAAACAAAAACGTCCCTCTCTCTGGAAAGGCGCTGACGAGCAGTGAATGATCGGCCTAAATACTCCACTCCATCCAAATGTCCAGAGTAGAACAAGAGGCATTGCGGTGGGCGATCCACAGATCCTTGTCAAGAGATTTATAGATTTTGTTATTCCGGACTGCGAAGAACAAACGAAAAAAACTAGCATCGATCATTGATCGGTGGATGGACCCGTGATCTAGTTCTAGCAAAAGAGATCTAGTAGGGAGGAGTGGAAGGCGGCGGCGAGCAGGGGAGAGGGGGATTGGGGAAGAACGACTTGGGCGGCAATGGGAAGCACGATGGCTCCTGCGATAGAAACGCCTGGCACTGCTGCGCGGGCCGCTGGAGCGGCCGATTGGGGATGCAATTGCCGCGGTCGTCCACGATCCTCCCCCGCGACGGCAGCGCCAGGCAATCCGGGCTCTCCCCGGAGAAGAAATTCCCCGCGAACGTGAAGTTCTCGAGGTTGGGGAGATCGCAGATCGCCGCGGGCACGTCGCCGGTGAGGAGATTGAACGCCACGTCCAGCTGCTCGAGGCTGATCATCTGCGCGATGCTGGGCGGGAGGCCACCGCCTAGCGAGTTGTAGCTCACATCGAAGACGTTGAGCTGGTCGAGGAGCCCGATCTCGCCCGGGATGCAGCCATCGAATCGGTTGCCGAGGAAGATGATCTCGTTGAGCGTGCGGCGCATGTTGCCGATGCTGGGCGGGATCCCCCCGGAGAAGCGATTGTTCGCGAAATTGGCGACCGAGACGGTGGAGCTGCCCAGATTCCATGGCACCTGGGCCGCAAATTGGTTGTTGTTGACGAAGAGCGCGTCGAGGTGCTTGTCGAAGAGCGCGCCCGGGAGCTCGCCGGAGAAGCCGTTGTAGCGGAGGTCGAGGTAGGCGAGCGATGGCATGGCGAGCGTGACGAGCGGGAAGGGGCCCGAGAACCTGTTGTTGGAGACGTCGAGCTCGTAGAGGAGGAGGAGCGCGGCCATGGATCCGGGTAGCGTGCCGCAGAAGAGATTGGTGTTGATGTGGAAGAGGGCGAGATAGGTGAGGAGGCCGAGCTCCTCGGGCAGCGTCCCCGAGAGAAAGCCGTGGTTTAGATCGATGCCGCTCACCACCTCCTTGCACGAGTCGTCCGGCGCGGGCGAGCAAAACACGCCGCGGTAGCGGCAGACGTCCAGTCCAATCCATGTCGCGGTGATGCCCTGGGGATCGCCCGTGATCCTCGACTTCCATGCCTGGAGCGCAATGTAGGCCGCCTGGAGGCTGGGATTCGGGAATGCCGCTGCCGGCGGCTGCTGGAGGAGCTTTCTTTGAGCCGGATTCTTGGATTCTTGGTGTTCTTGGTGGGACGCTGCGAGAATCAAGAAGGCGAGGAGCAAGAACCCTAGGAGGCAATGCGGGGCGGCCATCGCTGCCATCGCTGTTGCTACTGCTGCTGCTACTGCTACTGCTACTGCGAGAGGAAGATGAGAAAAAATGAGTGGAGATTTGTGAGAGACTTTAACGATTCACGATCAATCTTCCCGCTCGAGCAGAGATTTCTGAAGGGTCCTCCTGTCCGCCCAATCCATTCGCATCTCTGCCAGCGCCATTTTCTTGCTCGATTTTGACCTAGCCTTGATAAACCCTCGAGGCAGGTAAAGCAGAGGCGACCCGAGTTTTTACCTGGGCCAATCAAATGCCCCGAAAGTGAGTCACGTGTCCTTCTTTGACGGGCTGACGGCCTGGTTCCCAACGCGGACGGCTAGTTAATGGCAAACGCTTGACGGCCTGATGGTCCACCAGTCAATGCCGCGCGGGAAGGAGAGATTTTAAACTTTTAAAGTTTCCAAGTGGTACGGAGATGAGGGCTTGCGTTATATGACATAAATGTAGCCGCGTCTTTCCAGCTAAGAAAAGAAATGGGCTTGGACCCATTGCCATGGCTCAAATATAGCCTACGGACGTGGTGGAATTAATGAGGATCATAAGGGGCTTGTGTCGCTTGCGGTACTAGGCTACTACATTTCTCACGTTTTAACGCATTAATGTTCTTAGCATACCACTTTGAGTGGAAGTAATTTTTATGATAAATTTAACATCAAACACAAAAGTACATAAATAGACTTTAATTTAAATTTTAAGAGAGGTATATTAAGATCAAAGAAGTTTACATGTTTTTCAAAATAATTTTTCATACAATTAGCCTTCTAATTTTATTTAGCAAGAAATTTGTGATAATAATTTTGAAAAAGAGGTACACGTCAAGGAGGGTGATTTCATAAAAAATTGTTGAAGCTTGCAAAAAACATGAAAAAAAAAAAATAGATGTGTTTAAATTGTTGTAATACATATATATGACTCACAAATATTTTAAACACAATTTATCCATGTATTAGTGCCTACCAAATATGCATAGTAAAGTCTAGATAGTGTTATATATATGATTTTTTGTCTTGTGTAAATTTGACTTTATATAAGATTTTTTTATATGTCACTAAAGTATAAGCTTTAGGTTTAATGATTGATTGGTGTATAGATGAGTGTGATCGATTAAAATGTGAAGATGAGCACAAAATCTTTTTTGAATATTTGGGGTGTTGAGTGCAATAGTTTTTTATGAGCAAGTGGGTTTTATTATAGCTGTAGTAAAGTGTTAGTTCTAATTATTTATCATGTTTCTAACCATATATATATATATATATATATATATATATATATATATATATATATATATATATATATATATAGTAAGTATTATAATGATTTGGGCTTAATATGTAAAGTTCTTTCTATTATCCTCACCAATAAAAGTGTTTTAAATATATAGTGCTGGCAAGCTTAGCTCATGGCATCTAAAATGCATTTAAAATTTAACACGCTTAATGAAAAAATGAAAAACATCATATCCACAAACTCTATATTAAAATATTGCACTTTAAATAAGTTGTAAGAAATGAAAAACATTTGTAAATATGATTGAAGCATTATATTTACATTAGTGTGTATTGCAATCAAAATACATTTTTAAATTGCAGTAAATGATGCACAACCACACGGAATAGAAGGCAAATAAAATGAACATAAAGTAGGAAAAAGATGATCATAATCAAGATGTCATAAATTTATATTCAATAACACAAAATAAGACCAAAAAAATATTATATATGATATATCCCATAATAAAAATATTATACAGACAATCACATTTTAATTGCTTAATAACAATCTAAAAGTGATTGTGTGCATAATATTTTTCATGCAATTTAAAACAAAAAAAAAAATCAGTATATATGTAAATGTATAATTCTCCCACACACAATTACATATTTGTTGCCATAATTTTACTTATATATATATATATATATATATATATATATATATATATATATATATATATATATATATATATCACTTGAAAATCCATAAAGATAAGATTTATTGCAAAAACCATCCTAAATATATATGGAATTTTATTCTTTTTATAATTTTTTTGAATTTAATTGACTAATTTATTTATGTAATATATAATAAAATGTATTTTGTTTTACCATATATTAGTTTTCAATGATATTTAATAGTTTCACTTTTTAACATTAAATTTTGATTTATGTACATAATATAATGTGAATTACTTTATGAGTTAGTTTTATCATCTTATTGATTGTCATAAAATTCTCATTGTATAGCTTTATTAATAATTTAAAAGAAAATAATAAATTGTAAATCAATATATTTAATGTTCTTATTGCTCAAAAGCTTTGAGTTAGTTATGAGAAAGACTAATAAGATATTTCTTTCTTAAGAATACTCTATTCAATATTAACATTAAAAAATATTTTAAAATTTTCACATGCCCTAGCCCTAATTCCTGTTTTTGAGGGTTTCCACGGCGGCTAGGGTTCTAGGCGGAGGAGCGTGGAGCAATGGTGAGAGCGCGCGGCTATCGCGGGATCTTACGATTCTTGTGTTGTGCAGGTGCGCGGGCCGAAGAAGCATCTCAAGGTGCTCAATGCCCCCAAGCATTGGATGCTGAGCAAGCTCGGCGGTGCCTTTGTAAGTATCTGTTCCCCTTTGTTGTCCCAGGTAGATCCGTGCGCTCACGGCGGCCTTGCTTTTCCAGGCTCCAAAGCCATCGTCGGGCCCTCACAAGGAGAGGGAATGCTTGCCTCTGGTGATTGTACTTCGAAACAGGCTCAACTATGCCTTGACTTACCGAGAGGTGGTCGCAATCGTGATGCAAAAGCTCATCTCGATTGATGGCAAGGTCCGGACGGACAAGTGCTATCCCGCTGGATTCATGGGTAAGTTCTCGATTTCTTTTCCTCTCTTACCCGACTGACTTGCTTGTTTCGCTTTTCTAGATGTGTTGACGGTCGGCAAGGTGGATGAGAACTACCGTCTCCTCTATGACAGCAAGGGCCGATTCACCTTGCACTCGATCAACTCCGAGGAGGCCAAGGTACTCATTCACTCACATCTCCAAGTGCTTTCTTTCCGTAGTAACTTTGTTTTGGTGTCAACAGTTCAAGCTCTGCAAGGTCCGCGCCGTGAGGTTCGGTGCCAAGGGGATCCCGTTCCTGACGACTTACGACGGGAGAACCATCCGCTACCCGGACCCTCTGATCAAGGCCAACGACACGATCAAGATCGACCTGGAGACTGGCAAGATCAAGGAGTTCATCAAGTTCGACGTTGGCAACTTGGTGATGGTCACTGGTGGTCGCAACAGGGGGAGAGTCGGTACCATTCAGCACCGAGAGAAGCACAAGGGGAGCTTCGACATCATTCACATCAAGGACTCGGTCGGTCAGGACTTCGCCACCCGAATGGGCAACGTTTTCACCATTGGCCAGGGGACCAAGCCGTGGGTCTCTCTTCCCAAAGGCAAAGGTATCAAGCTTTCCATCGTGGAGGAGGCCAGGAAGAGGGTCAAGGGCTAAAGAAGTTTTTCCTAACGACATAAGAGAACACAGAGGTTGGTCTCTGGTGAGAGTTTGTTTCTTTTCTACTTTTTTTTGGTTCTTTTTATCCGAGGGGTCTTTGATTGATCTCTGTAATGCCTACGAAGCCTTTTTGTTGTTCAACTTCCCTTCTTGCTTTTTCTTCGTTCATTTGAGATATGAGTTTGATGACTTGGAGTGCTTGAGCTTGCTGTGATGAGGCGGTGAGAAGTCTGGCAGATTGTGAAAGAACTCGGTGTCTTCTTCCCTTTGGAAGTGAGAGTAAATTGCGAGCTGGAGTAGTCCCAGGATAGCTCCAATCGTGTTTGGGATCTATGGACAAAGCAGTGAAAGAAGCTTTTTCTCTTCCACTTTTAAAGGCTTAGCTTACTATGAGGAACTTGTCGTGCTTGAGAACTCCATAGATTGTCCATAGCAGCGCATTGATCAGGCTACAGAGAGACAGAGAAAAGGGCATGTATTCGACGCTTCGAGTCGCGATAACCAGCTTCTGCAAGTTGGAGAGGGTAAAGGAAAGTTTTGTTTCTATGTTCTAAAGTTCTCTTCTGTTTTTCTGGGAAGACGAGTAGCTCTGGTACCATGACTGAAAGTGGCGAGGCGTACATGAGAGTCCCGACCACCACACACACCGCACCGACGAATTTGGCCCTTTGCTCCTGCTGGAATGCTGTGAGAGTGACTGCGATGGCGGCAGCGAAGAATCCCGCCACACCAACGAGCAGCACGCTGAGATATCCCTGGAACACGAAGCCAGTGAGATCAAAAACATTTCTTCTTTTCCTTCTTTTGCTTTTGGTCGACGAGAAACAGGACAAAGTAGAAGAGCATAGAACAGGATTTTCGCAGCGCTCACCCTGTGGGCTGCGGGGGCAAAGGTGAAGAAGACGATGAGATAGATGCACTCGAGGATGATCCCGGCGGCGTTGATGGTGACGATGAGCGTGTTGTTGGAGGTGACGGCGGGGAGGCCATAGAAGAACCAGAGCAGGCAATTGAGGAGCGTGCAAGCGTATGGGACTGGCGAGAAGGATCCGGTGTCTCGAGAATTGATGATCCTCCAGAATGTGGGCCTGGAAACAAGAAACAAAGAAAAATGGGTATCTTTTCTCCTTATTTTCAGTTACAACACGAAAGGTGGTCTTTAAAGATCTGTCGTCTCTCACGTTGGTGACAAAAACATGACCATGGCTGTGACATTGCCTGTAGACACACACACACACACAAAATCAAGTTACAGCAAGAACCTTGGTTTTCTTCTACCAACGATTCCCAGGAGCACGTAGACATCTGCCATTGCTTCCAAGTTGCAAGCCCTAAAATTTCAAGAAGCTTGTTAAGAACTTAGGACAATGCCAAGATCGAAAATTCGTCGACCAAGAGACACCAAGAGATAGGCATCTGTACTATTTGTTCCAATGTTTAGGCGTGAGCATGAGAAAGCTACTGCCGCAACCCCCTCTCTGAGCACTGGAATGGTGCCAACGAACCTTAGGAGCACTTCTATACGAAGTCAGAGCAAGATACACTTTTACAATTTTGCTAATAGTAACTACAAACAAAGAAAAACAGAAGGTTCATAATATCGATGCCTTCTTTCTTTCTGCTTGATCCTGCATGAATTAGAATGACGAAGAACAAAATAACATACTCTGCACATACTTGCACAATTTACTTCATGAAAATGTGGGAGTGTGGAAGGCATGACCAGAGGATATTGGCCTTTGTACCACATCAAGTCCTGACACGAGAAGCTGCGACGAACTCGTGTTGCACCAAGCTGTGGAGTGCCTTCTCTGAAACGATGCCTGCATCAATGAGGTACTTACTTCTCGCTCAATACACCCCACAGAGCGCCTCGTACTCCTTCGGAGGTCCAGGATGCTTCGAGCTCCTTCAACAGCTCTGGATCCGCTCACTTGACTCATGGTCTCCACATCAAAAAGAACAGAGGACAAAAAAGCTTCCTTTTCCAGCCTCCACGAAGCTTGCTCGCAAGTGCCTGCCACTCGTCTGAGACTCCACCGACATAAGAAAAGATACTGCCATAGGTCCTCTGGAAGTAGAGAACGCTGTGTGCTTCATGAGCTTCTTTTTCCAGCAGGTCACCTGTCATCATTGTGAAGTATCTCTGGAAGGGTACATGCTCGTTGAGCCTGACCTGATGTCCTCGGAGCTGCAAAGGATCACGTTGGCTGTGTTTGTCTCCTTGGTCAGCATCAAAAAGTAATCCTGGAGATTCCTGAGATGATGCTGCTCCTTGGGGCACAGGCTCCACTCGTGGAACCGGTTCGCCTCGTCAATTAACAGCGTTGGAAAGGCTGCAGCTTTGCCATGGAACAGCCTTTTCGTCGTCGAATGCGACGAAGCCATCTGAGACGTTTCTCTTTTGTTATTGTTCCTCACCATGCAAAGGTAAGCTCAAAAAGTCAATGAATGTCGACAATTCCTGTGAAAATTTCTATCCATGTTCTTATTCACTCAAAGATGACTCAAACCGTATTTATCGGACCACTCTCTTATTTCAATACTAAAAACTTGCTATAAATTGGGTATATACACTCTAACTTGCACCGGGGCGGATCATCGCACCATGTAAGCGGTAGTCACTGGACCACCAGACTCAGGTAAGACGGGAGCGGCTGGAGCGCGAGCATCTACATGCGGGCAGGATTTAGTGCGACTTCAGGGTTTGCTTAAGAAAACTAATAAATTAAGTGTTTAGAAAAGTTTATAAATTATAAATGTGTTCATAAATTATAAATATCAAACTATTACTAAGTAGATTTTCTAACACCTAAAAGTCTTCAGGAAACTATATTATAAGATATTGTTAATATTTAATGTTCTATCCAATCCAAATATTGTTGCACAATTATGTATAGTGCAACAAATTATTTACAAATCGCACGCCATATGAAAATAATCAACTGCGCATGGCATATAAAAGTTGATTTTTAGGAATAAGCGTGTTGTGCAGCAGTGCCAGAGTTGTGCTCAGACCACCCATCCGAAAAAAAACTCCTTTTTAATGCAAACCGATCACAAATAAATGCTGCTCTTCTCTAGAGTTCGTTGCTAGATCGCTCCCCAGTGTCGAGTGTCTCTCCTTCGTCCTCCCTTGCGGGAGTAGCACAAATGGAGACGATCAAGCCGCGGGCGACTCTTGTCCTGTGCTCTGGAGTTTTCTTGCTCTTGATCTCCCTGTTCCTGATCCAGGTTGCTGCCGACGATGACGCGACTCTCGACTGCGATAGCCAAGTGAATGGTCTCGCCGGGAATTGCATGACTGCCGTGCTCATTGGAACCAAACCGTCATCCAAGTGCTGCAAGTTCGTGAGGGCCGCCCAGCTCGACTGCCTCTGTCCCAAGATTACCAAAGATGTCACCAAAATGCTCACTGAGCGTCTGCTCAACACCGCTCTTAAAATCGCAAAGCAGTGCAACTGGGAGCTGCCTCACAACTATCAGTGCGGAAGTTAGTACTCTCTCACTTTCGTTTTGCCTTGCTGCTGTTGGTGATAAAAAAACTGACCTTTTGTTCAATGTCGGTGCAGGCTACACTTTTCCCTGAGAAAAGAGAAGTTCATGATTCAGGCATGCTTGTAGCAAATCCTTTAAAAAGCTTACAGTAAGAATTCTCCGGTTAATTATCCGCATTGTTGTGCTTTGAATGTAGAGGTTCCCACTAACAACGAACAGCATTACATAATCCTTTAGTTGCCGTAGCAAAGGAAAAGGGCGAGCTTATACATAACCCAGCAACAAAGGATGTTCAGGCATCTGCTTTAGTTCATAGAGAACTTGTTTGCCTCTTGTAAGCTTCTCAATTGCATGGACTGTTTCCAGTGAACTTCATCTCAACGTTGTTATTGTTCTCATCTTTGCGGTCAATTTCACTGTTGAGGTCCTTCACATTTCGCTCATAAAAACCAGGTGTTCTTCACCTTTTTCTGCTCTCGAAATCAAAGCCACTGTAAAAGGACACACCTTTGAATTCTCCCACCTTCCAGTTAACCAAAAGACTTGCTGATCTAAGCGGAGCCATCTGAGACTTGACCTCAGCGGCAAAGCTAGCTGCGCTGTTGAATGTTGCTGCCCGCACGTAGATTGGTAGCCTTGGTGTGCGCTCCGCAAACTCTGTCGACTTACCCGAGTCTGGCGGCCCAGTGACTAGCACCATTTTTCCTCCATTGCATATCTTCGCGAGTCTAGCGAGCTCATCCTTTCTGTTGTAAAGACCCGCTTGCCGGCTCGCATCCAGCTCTAGTGTTAAGAGCTGTCCCAGTTTATAAATCTGACACAGTCAATAAAAGTTAATAAAATTCTAAAGACTTCCTTTGACTACTTTCAGCTATGTTCTTCTCGAGTCAAAGACCCTAGCATCCTTGGGAGTTCTTTTGCATCACGACGACCACTATCTCGCTTATGTCAATCAATACCGAAATAATCATCTGGCACTTCTCCATGGCTGTCTAAGAAAATGTGTAAAGGTTGCTTTCTAGGAGTACGCGTGCTGCAGCACCAGACTTGTGCTCAGACCACCCATCGGAAAAAAACTCCTTTTTTAAGGAAACCGCTCACAAATAAATGCTGCTCTTCTCCCGAGTTCGTCGCTAGATCGCTCCCAGTGTCTCTCCTTCGTCCTCCGTCGCGGGAGCAGCACCAATGGAGACGATCAAGCCGCGGGCAACTCTTGTCCTGGGAGTTTTCCTGCTCTTCTTCTCCCTGTTCTTGATCCAGGTTGCTGCCGACGACGACGCGAGTCTCGACTGCGATAGCCAGGTGAATGGTCTCGTCGGGAATTGCATGACTGCCGTGCTCATTGGAGCCAAACCGTCTTCCAAGTGCTGCAAGTTCGTGAGGGCCGCCCAGCCCGACTGCGTCTGTCCCAAGATCACCGGAGATGTCACCAAGGTGCTCAAGCTCAGCACCGCTCTCAAAATCGCAAAGCGATGCAACCGGGAGCTGCCTCACAACTATCAGTGCGGAAGTTAGTACTCTCTCACTTTCTTTTTGCCTTGCTGCTGCTGCTGGGGATAAAAGAACTGACCTTCTGTTCAATGTCGGTGCAGGCTACACTCTCCCCTGAAATAAGGATTCAAGCATGTTTGTAGCAAATCCTTGAAAAAGCTTACAGTAAGAACTCTCTGGTTTTATCCGCATTGTTGTGCTTTGAGTGCTTGTAGAGGTTCCACTTCCTTCTGACCGATAACGACGAACCGGCCTCCGGGAGCATTGTCCACATAATCCTTTAGTTGCTGTGCGGCCAGTGGAGTCAATCCAGTCTACAAGTAACAAAGAAAGCGGAGTTAGACAAGACTCAGCATTTGAGCTTTATACGTACCCCAGCAATAAAGCGACGAGAGAAGCCTCTCAGCTCCAAAGGATGTTTGAGCATCTGCTTCAGTTCCTGCGTGTTGGTACCGCTTTAGATAGAGAAACGCAACAATTTCTTCCTTGCCTCTTGTAAGCTTCTCAATTGCACGGACTTTTTTCCACTGAGCTTCGCCTCAACGTTGTCATTGTCCTCATCCTTGCGCTCAATTTCGATGTCGAGTTCCTTCGCATTTCGCTCAAACCAGGTGCTCTTCGCCTTTTTCTGCTCTCGAAAATTAAAGCCAGTCCATTGTAAAACAAGGAATGCCATTTACCTTCGAATTCTCCCGTAATAGTCTATCAATTCTGAGAGCAAGCTCTATTCGTTTCTCAACAGAGGGTATATACCCGGAATTGATTGGAAACCTTGTCAAGCCACTGGACTGTAGCAAACACTATATCACGCAAGAAATCCACTTGTTTTCCAGAGTACCTTTGATAGCGCACGGCAGAGTGTCAAGTACTTCGACTTCTCCGAGGGAGAGATTAGAGCAATGCTGCATCCATCTTTGTCAGCACGCGCTGTTCTCCCACTTCTATGAACATACATCTGTTGGACACGGGAATATGTCGCACCGGTTTAAACATATCTTATGCATACCTCCGCTGAGTGTGGTAACTGATAATGTATAACAGTCCGAACTCCCGGAATATCTAAACCCCGTGCAGCAACGTCCGTTGCGACAAGCACACCATCGGTGCTGGCTCGGAATCTATCCATTGTCTGGAAAGAGCAGAATTTAAATGCGTACTCAAAACGTATGACATGCCATACCTTTAGTCTCTGCCGTTGCTGTAGCTGTGCATGCAAAGGCCACGCCGGAACCTCTAAAAGACGTAGAATAGCTGCTAGTCTTCTTAATGCCGCAATGGAGGTACAAAACACAATTGTTCGCCCACATCCATGTACCTTGAGGACGTAGTATAGGTAGGCATCCTTTTCCTCGTCGGTGCATCTGCAGGAAACAATACAAAGCGTTAGGTGAGACGTGTCAGGCAAAAATGCAGATCTTACTCGATAACCGACTCCGTAAGCTTTTCAGCAACGACGTTCTTCGATGTCAAATCCACAACTTCAGCAGTGTCGCTGAGCCCGGCTCTCTCCGACAGTAAGGATAGAGAATGCTGCTCTGATTTCTTTCTTGCTCCATAGCTTTTCTTGAGCTTTTTCTTGAAGTCGGGAGGCAGGGTCAAGGTAGCTGAAAACACCAAAGTCTGCCTCCGTTTCTTAGCGGACAAAAAAACGTTGTCTGCAGGATCTAGATCCTCTCGCGATTCACCGTGCTTCGGTAGTAAATCAATTATGGATTCTAGCTCTTGAAAATGGCCTTTTTCAATCATGCGGTCAGCCTCGTCCAGTATAAAAAATGAGATCTCTTGGAGCTGCCAAGAAAGAACAATAAAAAACACGAAATAATAAGAAAACCAGTCCTAGAAAATACCTGGACAAGGTGGCTTTCGCCACTGCTCATGAGTTCCCATAGGCGACCAGGAGTTCCAACGACAATAGCAGGCCTTCGCTTAAGAAGGCGTTCCTGTTTTTGCGTAGATATGCCACCAACAATAGGAGCGACCTTGATATCTGTAAACTTAGCTACTGCTCGAATATGGTCGCAAATCTGTCATTCCACATGTTAGAAAGCAAGAGATGCTTAGTTACACTACCTGCAGAGCTAATTCTCGCGTAGGTGTGACGATGAGAGCACGAAGTGGACTGTCACTAGCAACATTGTTCTGTCGCAAGAGCTTATCGCGTTCATCAAGAAGCCTTTGCAAAATTGGTATGCCAAAAGCTAAGGTTTTTCCTGATCCAGTCTCTGCGGCCCCGATAACGTCCTAGAGCAAGTAGATAAAAAAAATGAACATGAAATATAAAAATACGAAAAGGTAAACCACACCTTTCCCTTGTGCGCAGCTGCTGGAATGCATGCCTTCTGGATGGGAGTTGGAGTGGTAAAGCCAAGAATAGAAAGAGCTCTTAGCAGTGAAGGATGAAGTCTCAACTCGTTCCATTCGGGAAGAACAACATCGACTCTCTCCAAACCTTCACTCCCATTATCTGTAAGAACGAAGATCGTTTTGAGAAAAGAAAAACACCTGCATCTAAAATCTTACCTCCACCATCTAGCTTTGATCTCTTGTTGGCACCGGACGTAGTATTTTCACGCAAACGCTTGTTCTTCCTTTTCTTCCCTCGAGGAGAGTTTAAAGCCTCTTTATCTTGGGCAGTATCACCAGGCTCGGCATTTCCCTTCTTCTTCTTCTTCTTCTTCTCCTTTCTCATCGCAGCATTTCCGTCGGCTAGATCGGTGTCACTAGCGAGCATTTTCTCTTTTCTCTTCTTATTCTTCTTCGCATGTTTCTCCTCGCCTAGATCAGTTTCCAACGCGCGTTTCCTCTTCCCTTTCTTCGCATTCTTCCCACTCAAATCCTCCCCGGCCGGAGGCTCGAGTCCAAACACCAGATCCTCATCAATCTCCTCCAGAGACACAAAACCTGCAAAGGAGAACATCCATGATCGCGTCGCTCGCAAATTGATCCATACCTCCATGGCCGCTGCCCAGGAGCAGCGATGTCGGCTCCTGCGGCGTCACATCCTTCCACGCCTCCCCCGACCCGCTCTTCTTCTTCCTCCCCATTCTAGGGCTCCTCTAGGGCTTCACTAGGGTTTAAGCGCGCACCAATGGCGACTTCCAGCGCTCGCTTGATCGTGCATGGCGCCGCCGCGGCATCCAAGCCAGCTCCATATCCACCAGGTTCGCATCCTCGCGCCTCGATCTCCCTGCCAAGCGCCGCCAATGCCAGCAGCATCTGGGGCAGCAAGAGCATCAAGCCCCAGCGCATAGCTACATTCTCTCCGGCGATCAAGCCCGCGGCGCCCGTGATCGCCATGGCCGGGGACACACCGTCGCGTCAGATCTCGGGCAAATGCTTCGTGGTGCGTGACAATATCGACACCGATCAGATCATTCCGGCCGAGTATCTCACGCTCGTCCCCTCCAAGCCGGACGAGTATGAGAAGCTGGGGAGCTACGCCATGGCCGGGCTTCCGCCACACTATGGACAGTTCATGGAGCCCGGCAAGAGCAAGACCAAGTACTCGATCATCATCGCCGGCTCCAACTTTGGCTGTGGCTCCTCCCGCGAGCACGCCCCGGTTGCTCTGGGAGCGTCCGGGATCCAGGTGGTGGTGGCCGAGTCCTATGCCAGGATCTTCTTCCGGAACTCGGTGGCCACCGGCGAGATGTATCCCGTCGAGTGTGAAGCTCGCATCTGTGACGAGTTCCACAACGGGGACGACGTGACCGTGGACATGGAGCGCGACGTGGTGGTGAATCACTCCACTGGAAAGGAGTACGCGCTCAAGCCGCTGGGCGATGCCGCGCCGGTGATCGAAGCTGGCGGGATCTTTGCGTACGCGAGGCAGACTGGGATGATTCCTTCGGCAGCTTGACACGAAGGTATTCGTGACTGTGTTTTATCCCTGTGTTCTCTTCGGCTCTCACTTTATCATTTGCTCCAGGAGCTTAAAGTAGAAGAGTGTTGACAAGGTACTTGTTTATTTTTTGCTTTTCCTCTCTTAATGCTCGTTTGGATGATCAGATCCTCTGTATTGCATGGAGAGTGAAGGAAAAAGAAAGAGGTTTGCTCAAGTCAAGATGTTTTTTCTATGGTTCTGATTCTGTCGTTGTGACTAATACTGCCGGCTGTGCTGAAGTATGAGATCCACAGATTTTTTGGGTGTGCCCCGTGGAACAAGCCAAGAGTCAAGTAGCAGTGATTCCAACGGTGGTCCCGTCCAACAGTTCTGGGCTGTGCCGTGGGTGATGCAAACGCTACTGCTTCTTGGGGAGCCGAAGAGCTATTGGCAAGGTGTCTTAGTCTCTAATGCCGGACACTAATCGTGGAGGGGATACTGCCAAGTGTTTTGAAATGGCCAGGACAGCCTGGTGGTGCTGCTGTTGCGAGCATGACGGGCCAAATTAGTCGATCGAGGTGGGGGCGAAAAAAAAAAGAGAGAAACTTCACGAGCTCGAGATTAAAATAAGTTCCAGGTGAGTCACTGCTCTCCAAGTCTTTTGGGAAGAATTTGGGTTTATATATTCTTAATTGTATTAACAATGGAGTGGGTCGATTCAGACGCATCGCATCCCTTGAAGCTGACACCCGAGCAACCGCTCCGGAGACGAATGATCTCGATCAACCAAATGGTACTTCATGAGTTCTGCTACTGATCAAATCAGGTGACTAATGGCTCGATCAACGTACAAACGTTTGCTACTGATCAAACCGATGATTAACGCTCGATCAATGGTCAAACCAGCGTCCGACAGAAGAACATCCAGGAAGATTCAACAGTGACAAACGTGCGGTTCATACGTCAGAGCACTTGGCTCGAGAAAGTGAGAGAATTCTTCGCGTTGTTGTCTTGTTTTATTTTCTCTTATTCTTTGTTAAAAGTGTTATTTTTTTCAGTGTCTCAAATCAATTAGGAAAGAGAAGGGGCTGTGCGCTCTAAGAAAGCGGAGAAAGAAAGGTTGGCCCTTCCCATGGTCATGGGCCAAGTTCTAACAGCGTACCACCCTTGTATAAAAAGAGGAAAACACCCCTCCCTGTCTAGGCTTACTTTTGTGTGTGTGTGTGTGTGTGTGTGTGTGTGTGTGGTTTGTGTTTGAGTCCTTTGCAGTTTTATTTCCTTCCTTGTTGGTTGACCCCTCCAAGGGGCCAAGCAAGAACACACATTTCGTGACTTTTACTTCTCTCTCCCTCTACTTGGACAGAGAGAGTATCGATTCGATTGGCTTGCGTCTCGGAATTGGAATGCTCGATCCGTCCTTCCGTTGAGAATCTGGATTGGCGATGCTGTGCGCGGTGGAGGGATTCGATTGCGATTCGAGAGTTTGGTGTGGCTTTTCTCATTGATAGCTCTTGAGAGGAAGAATCGGGAGATTTGAGGAGGAGATTGATTTGAGGCGATGGAGGCGTTTGGAGGGGGGAGAGGATCCATTTAAAGGAATGGGGACGGCTATGGTGGATCTACCCAAGAAAAGCAGCTCGCTGTTGCTCGTCAACGGGGGAATGGTGCTCGCCAATGGAATCGAGGCCCAGGCGGCGGCGGTGGCGCATCACAACAATCACCACCACCACCATCACGTAAAGTTCGCGGACGAGCAATCCATCAAGCCGGTCGGCGGCGGCGGCGGCGGGAGAGTGGCGGCAGTCAAGCCGCCGCTGGAGCTGCTCAAGCTCAAGAATTCATGCGAGGAAGACGAAGAAGAATCGGAAGAGGAGGAGGAGGAATGGATCCTGGAAGAGCAAGTGGAGGAAGTGGAGGAGTTTGGCCGCGACGAGCGCGACGTGGGCACCTCGGACGAGTGGGTGTCGCGGCACCCGGACATGGTCCGCCTCACGGGCCGCCACCCCTTCAACGCGGAGCCGCCGCTGCCCCGCCTCATGCAGCACGGCTTCATCACCCCGGCGGCGCTGCACTACGTGCGCAACCACGGGCCCGTGCCGCGCGGCACCTGGGCCGAGTGGCGCATCCACGTGGGTGGCATGGTGCGCCGCCCGGCGGTGCTCACCATGGACGACCTCCTGCGGCTCCCCGCGCGGGAGCTGCCCGTCACGCTCGTCTGCGCGGGCAACCGGCGCAAGGAGCAAAACATGGTGCGGCAGAGCGTGGGCTTCAACTGGGGGGCGGCGGGCGTCAGCACGTCAGTGTGGAAGGGTGCCCTTCTCCGCGACGTGCTCAAAGCCTGCGGCGGCCTTCGCCGCGGGGCCCGCTTCGTGTGCTTCGAGGGCGGGGATTCGCTCCCCAAATGCGGGGGTGACGGGTACGGCACCGGGATACGCGCGGAGAGGGCCATGGACGTGACGCAGGACGTGCTGGTCGCCTACATGCAAAACGGACGTCCTCTCCCGCCCGATCACGGCTTCCCCGTACGGATGATCATTCCGGGTATGATCGGCGGCCGGATGGTCAAGTGGCTGCGCAAGATCGAGGCCACCGCCGCCGAGCCCAACAACTTTTACCACTACCAGGACAACAAGGTGTTGCCCTCGCACGTCGATTCCGACATTGCAAACGCGGAAGGTCAGTAGTATAATTCTTTCTTTGTTCCCATGTCTTTTGTTTCTCTTGCGTCATAGAATCTCCACTCCGAGAATCTGGGAAGAGCTCAATTTAGTCTTTTTTGCTCCATTTTCCAGGGTGGTGGAAGAGGCCCGAGTATTTGATCAACGAGCTCAACATCAACTCGGTTATCACCACTCCCGCGCACGGCGACAGCCTGCCCATCAATCCGGTGTCGATACAGTCGCCGTACAGGATGAGAGGCTACGCATATTCCGGTACGGCAGATATTTCCGCGAATGTGCACGAGAATATGCTGACTTTTGAAAATGGCCATGGCAGGGGGCGGGAGGAAGGTGACCAGGGTTGAGGTGACGCTCGACGGCGGCGAGACGTGGGCGCTGGCGGATCTGAAGCACCCCGAGCGGCCCACCAAGTATGGCAAGCACTGGTGCTGGTGCTTCTGGGAGCTGGGCGTGGAGGCGATGGAGCTCCTCCAGGCGCGGGAGATCGCGGTGCGCGCGTGGGACGAGAGCATGAACACGCAGCCCAAGGAGCTCATCTGGAACCTCATGGTGAGTGGAAGTGAATTCTTTGGATTGATCGGTGGTTCTCATGGTTCGATCTCTCGGGCTATGGTGGCAGGGGATGATGAACAACTGCTGGTTCCGGGTGAAGGTCCGTCCCTGCAAGGGGAAGCTCGGGGGCGTGGCGCTGGCGTTCGAGCACCCGACGCGGCCGGCCAACCAGCCCGGCGGCTGGATGGTGAAGCAAAAGGAAGAGGAGACCAAGAGTGGCGACTTGAGCAAGCCCGGCAAGGCCATGACCAAGAGCGCCTCCTCGCCCTTCCTCAACCAGAGCGTCTCCTCCATCACCATGTCCGAGGTGCGCAAGCACAGCAAGCCCGACTCGCCCTGGATCGTCGTCAACAGCTCCGTCTACGACTGCACGTCCTTCCTCAAGGATCACCCCGGTGGCGCGGACAGCATCCTGATCAACGCCGGCACCGACTGCACGGAGGAGTTCGAGGCCATCCACTCGGCCCGCGCCAAGGCGCTGCTTGAGGACTACAAGATCGGGGAGCTCGTGAGCACGGCCGGGAGCTTCTCGTCGGCGGACACGAGCCCGGAGACGTCGCTCCACGGCGGCAACCGGGCGCTCTCGGCGCTCAGTCTCACCACGCTCGATCCAATCCTGGAAGCCCTCCCGGCATCGAGGCCAGTGGCGCTCAACCCGCGGCAGAACATCCCGTGCAAGCTCGTCGCGCGCGTGAACATCAGCGCGGATCTCCGCCGCCTCCGCTTCTCTCTCCCATCCCCCGATCAAGTCCTCGGCCTCCCCACAGGCAAGCACGTCTTCGTCTCCGCCGCCGTCAACTCCAAGCTCTGCATCCGCGCCTACACGCCGATCTCCTCGGACGACGACGAGGACTCCATCGGCCACGTCGAGCTCCTCATCCGGGTCTATTACAAGAACGTCCACCCAAACTTCCCGGGCGGAGGGATCATGTCCCAGCACCTCGACTCGCTGGCCATCGGCGACTCGATCAATCTCAAGGGGCCGATCGGACACATCCAGTACCTCGGGCGGGGAAAGTTCACCGTCAACGGCGACGCAAAGTTTGCGAGCGACATCGCCATGCTCGCGGGAGGGACTGGGATCACGCCGGTCTACCAGGTGATCAAGGCGATTCTTCGAGACAAGGAGGACACCACCCGGATCTCACTCGTCTACGCCAACCGGACGGAAGAGGATATAATGCTGCGAGCGGAGCTGGATTCGTGGGCCGAGAGCCACGCCGCCCAGTTCCGGGTGTGGTACGTCTTGAGCCAGCCTCGCGAGCCGAGCAATTGGAAGTACAGTGTGGGATACATCACCGAGGAGGTTGTCCGGGATCATCTAGCCAGAGGGTCGGACGAGGCGGCGGCGTTCATGTGTGGGCCGCCGGCGATGATCAATCTGGCTTGCCTCCCAAACCTGGCCAAGCACGGCTACTCCAAGTCCAGTTGCTACCAGTTCTAGAGAACCGTGTACATATCCAATTTTCATTTTCATTTTTCTTCTTTTTTCTTTCGGCGTCACCTTGTACATTCGAATATACAACCATTATTATAAAATGAAAATCACCGGTTTTCAAGAGTAAAATAAAGAAAATATTTTTCCTTGAAATGCCAAAAAACTACTCGTGGCGTCCCGCAAAAATTGTTACAAAAGTTTCATCCGTCATGGCCAATGAGACGGTATTCCGTTGAAAAGATTTTCTGTCTACTTTCTGATTTTTATTGACTTTGCATCTGTGCATTGACTTTCTTTGATTCTTGCTGCAAAAAGTAGTTAGGAAAATTCAGTTTAAATTTCAAAAATATTTCTATAAGATTACTAGAATCATCAGCCTAAACCCAAGTTTTATACTATACTAAAACCATTTTATAAACACGTTTATAAATTATAAGCACAAAATTTATCTCGCTCACTCATCCCCAGTGGCAAGCTCCAGGGCATAATCGTCGCGCTCCACAGGCCCCCGCGCAAAGTATCGCCCAAACTGGAGCCAATACACCTCGTCCTCGTCCTGGGTTTCTACTTCCACGTCCGACAGAGGATAGCCCACGCACAGCAGCCCATACCCCTGCGCCTTGAGCTCCGCCGAGATCCCCAGCGCCTCGGGCTGATTGATCTTCCCCGACTTGATCCTCACCGCGCACGCCGTGCAGCACCCATGCCGGCACGAAAACGGCAGCTCGATCTCCTCCCCCTCGGCGGTGTGGAGGATGTACTGATCCTCCGGCACCTGGAACCGATGCACAAGCCCTCGCTGCCGATCGTGGACGGTCACCGTGTGCACCGCCACCTCCTCACTCGCCGCCGCGCGCACGGCAATTCGGCCCAGCCGCCACCGCCGCCGCCGCGACTGAATCGAGACGAGAGGGCAAATCGCCGCCGCTGCTGCTGCTGCCGGTATCGCTGCCATCCCCTGCCCTTCTGCAAAGAGAAATCGCGGTTGGAATGCGGCAGCTCCATTTGCCGAGGAGCTGAGACCATTCGTACCTTCTATCTTCTCGTTCCCAAGAACCCTAGAACAGGGGTAGCGGATAGATTCCGGGCCAGAATCAGTCACCCGATTCGTAACATCCTCAGATCCCAGCCGCTGATTCCAGAGAACGTTACGATCCAGAAACCTACCCTCCTCGCTCGCGCGCTTTTTTATTTAAATCCACCGCCTCCCTCTCTGGAGGAAGAACAGTGAAGGAAATGGGTGCTCGAGCTAGCTCCGTCTTCTTCTTCGCGATTCTCGTGGCCATTGCCGCCCGATCGATCGACGCTGCCAGCTGCAGCACCCAAATGGCGAGCTTGGCCAACGATTGCAGCGCTCTCCTGGGCAGCAACGATCCGGAGGCGCCCACCAAGGATTGCTGCGACGCGATCCTGGCCGCCGACACGCGCTGCGTTTGCCGCTACGTCACGCCCATGGTCGTCCGCCTCGTCAACATGAAGAGGGTCGTCCACATCGCTGCTACGTGCGGCCGAAACATCCCACACGGATTTAAATGTGGAAGTAAGCCCCTCGCTCCTCTTCCGGATCTTGTCTCGCGTCTCACGAACACTGATTTATCTGGCAGATTACACTGTCCCGTGACGAATCTCACGACCCAAACTCGCTGCCGGATCGATCGAAACTCTGCTGCTGCTGACTGTGTAAGCGTCGTCAATGGAATAAAAATCACCAAAGGAAGAAAAAAAAGAATTTGTCTCCATAAAGTTAGTAAAAGTACCAGTGTACAAGTGTGCTCTTAGTTTACGAGCACCGCCCCCAACTCTTCTACACCTCGCCCTCGAATTTCTCCGCAGCGATAGGCGATGGAGCTGCCAAAGTTGCGACGCATTTGAACTGCAGAAACGATTGAGAAGAAGTCCGTGAGATGGAAAAACTTCTGGTAGATATGGAGCGGTGAAAAAACTTTACTTTGTGCTGCTTGTACTTTTCTCTCACAGCCGGTAGGCCACAGCCTTTGGTGTTACACTGCAGCTCATGAATGTCGCGCACACACTGTGCTAACTCTGACGCACAATATCCGGTGTAGTGTCGTAACGTTCCATTCTGGAACAGACAAGAATTTATTTTGTTGATATGTGATGCGCTAAAAAATGGCTTACCCAAGGATCTTCAGTGGGGTCGACTGTAAGCTTTGCAAGGAAAACGGCCGACGCAGCGATCATCGATGGTTTGTACTTGAGGAATGTGTACTCAACGAGGCTGAGTTCGGCTAGAAAATTGCCAAGGAATTCCAGCTGAAGAGACGGGGTCTGAGAAAAGATAAGCAAATAAGAAACACTCCACTAGTTTGCAACTCAAAAACTTACGTGGTAAGAAGCCTGCGCTGCCCGCATGAACCGTCTAATTCAGAGTTGTTAATACAACCAGTGCAAAACGTAAAGTCCTCACCTTAGGAATGTCTTGATCGTGGGAGTGGTAAGCTCAAACCGCAAATTGTTCAGTACTTGTCTCTCCATGATAAGAACCTGTCCAAAGAAACAGATGAGATCCAATCAATGAGAGAAAACAACTCAACATACCTCCTCCTTCGAGTACGTATTGTCGGTTATGTAGCAAAATTCCTCAACCTGAGGAGCACAAATCTCCTCGTATTTTCTGAAAGGAAAAAAACTCGCCTTTTACACTGCATCCCCGGGCTTATAACAATGAACGTACGCGGCAATAAGCATGCAAGAAACTCCAAGCAGCTGTAACCGTTGACGATTGACAACGTTTGCAGAAAGGTAACGATCTATATATGAAACAGTTAGATATAGTGTGTCGGGTACAAGCTTGTACTCCTCGGCAACCTGCGAAGAGGAAAATCACCGCAGGAAATTCCAGTCAAGAACAGATCACAAGAACAAACAAAGAAGAAAGCCGAATGCATTACCTCCACCAGCCAATCCACTAGAATTCCTCGCATGCTAGCGTTGATATCTCGTTGCACGACTTCCATAAAATTAGTTGTTGGCCTTCGTTTCAGCTGGCGGAGCAACACAATCAAATTATGATTGTTAGACAATCAACCAACAACCAAAACTCCAACAAGAAAAAAAAGAACGAGAACATAAACTACAAACCTCTCTGATTCGGAGATGGTGGTAGATCTCTGTGGCATAAACTCCACACATCTGGGGGTCCTTGTTTTCCAGATCAATGTCTTTGAAGCTCTTGAGCAATGTTTCTACAAACAAAGAAGCAAAAAAAAAACTTTTGTTGCCGCAAGGATAAAAAGAAAGAAGCGTTCTTTCATTCCTACCTGAAGATCGCGAGCTCGAAATGTACAAACTTTGCACCGTCTTGCGCTCCAAGGAAGCGACAGCGGCCGGATTCGCCTTGGCGGCCGGGGACTCAAACGTTTCATCGATCTGTAAAAGCTGCTGAGCTTCGCGATGCATCAAAGATGGGGCGTTCTCGTCCCCTGCGCATAAAGCCTTGGCCTTTCCCACAATCTGCGACAGCCCAAGAAGTATTCGACCCAAGAAAGCGAAGAACTCGGCACTGCTACGCTTACCTGCGCGGCGGCGGCGGCCATGGCGGGGCGAACCACTGGCACATTGCACGAGTTGGAAAGACTGGCCAGCGCCGGTCGCTTCTTGGCCTGAGTGGAAGGCGCCGCCGCCAGGCGCGCGTCGTCGTCCATGGCAGATCGCTTGGACGCCATCTCTTGCAGCTTCTTTTCCCTTCCAGATCTGCTACTCGCTCACCCGGGCGGCCCTGGTGGCGCAGCGGCACAGGCATTGCCAGGCATCTCCCCCGGGGGTCATCGCAGGCGCGGCCAGCAACAGCATCAATTCGATCGCCGAGCAAATCCGGGCATCAGTAGCCGCGGAGAGAGTGGGGATCGATCGATCGATCGAGCTAGGCGCCCCAGCGCAGCGAGCTAAAGATTAGGGGAAGGGAAGCCGCAACGGCATTGGCCGTCGATGAGCCGCATCCAAGGGCCAGCTTTATGCCATGTCTTTGCCGACGTGGCACATGTTAAATCATCCCGCCCGTTTTTGAATGTTTTTGGGAGGGTTAAAAGCTTTAAGCATGCTTACAATCTAAGAACGCGAGAAAAAAAAAAAAGAGAAGAAGCTGGCGATAGGGACTGGAACTGAAAAGTCCGTTGCGGAAGCAAACAATTCAAATGGGGGATTTTTAAGTTTTGGGGGCCGGCCTCCCTCCATAGCCAGCATATTCCCTTGCTTGTAAAGGGACCTTTCTTTGTTTAATACAAGAGAAAGCCACTGGCGATTTTAAAGCCTTGAAGAACATGCTTGCTTACTTGGGAGTGTCTGTCCCCTCCTTCCTGGCTTGCTGGCTCTGGGTTTCTGGGTTTCTTCAAAACAAAGAGAGAGACAAACAAAACAAAACAAAACAATGGTTTGTTTGAATTGTTCGTAAGTAAGCTGGATCGATCGAAGCTCGCAAGTCAAAGTTCTACTAAATTCGTGGGGAGAAAACTTTGTCTCGAGTGATTTGATCCAACCGAGACTGGATCCTATCACTGCATCCAAAAACAGCAATGAGAAGTCGTACCGCCGAGAGCTGTTTCGAGAGAGGGAACTTATACTCGTAGTAGAGGCTAAAAACTTCCCCTGCACAAGCAATTATGAAGGTTCGATCTTAAGAATGTGCCTGTTACGTTACCTGACTATATGCCATTTCCCAAGTCCGGCGAAAGCTCTCTCTGTGATCCCTGGAGTTGTCTCCTGACTAGTGCCGCGTAGATCCCGTTTCTCTCGAGCAAGGTGTCGTGAGTTCCGCTCTCCACAATCTTCCCATCAGTGACTACTGCTACGGTGTCAGCGCTCTTGACAGTTGACAAGCGGTGTGCGATCACGAGGACAGTTCGTCCTTTCATCAAACGATCCATCGCATCCTAGAGTGACAAGACAAAAAGCATGAAGTTGCTTTGACAAAGATTTGAGAATGCCTTGCTTACCTGTACTAGGAACTCACTCTCCGCATCAAGTGCACTCGTTGCCTCGTCCAAAAGAAGGACTCTTGGATCCATCAGCAATGCTCTTGCGATGGCAATACGCTGCTTCTGCCCCCCCGAGAGTCGTACGCCTCGTTCTCCAACGTGAGTGTCGTAACCCTCCGGGAATTTGCAGATGAACTCGTGAGCATTGGCCATCATCTGCAAAACAAGTGCAGTGAATTATAGCAAAAATTCGCGCATGATACGATTAACATACAGATACTCTTTGAATTTCCTCGGAAGGAGAGATCTCGTCCAGCCCATAGCATATGTTTTCGGCAATGGTGCAATTAAAGAGCACTGGCTCTTGGCTTACAATACTCACCTGAATAAAGAACGAGGAGAAAATCTAGAGCGCGAATATTTTATATATACTGTACGTACCTTTCTATGCAAATGCCGGTGACTTATTTCAGGCAACGGCACCCCGTTGAAAAGAACTTTTCCCTTCTGGGGATCGTAAAATCTCTCTACTAAGTTCGCAATAGTAGTCTACATCAAACAAAAGTCATTATAGTTGGGAGTTACGAAACTTTTGGGGGATTAATTACCTTCCCACCACCGCTTGGCCCAACTAAAGCAACTTTTGCTCCCGGTTTCAAACAAAGGTTCACGCCCTGCGGAAAATAAAAAGGAATCACAGGTTTCATGCTGATAGAGACGATTTTAATACCTGAAGAACCCAATCTTTTGGACGGGATGGATACGCAAACCAAACATCCACCAGCTGAACTTCTCCCTCGGAATCACTGAAAATAAATTACCGATGTGACAACTTTCGCAAATATGCTATGGCTTACCTCATAGGACAAGTATTCCCGGACTTCGGCATTGTTGACACACGGTCTAAAAGCTGAAAAACACGCCTGCTAGCTCCTGCGGCTTTCATGGCAGTAGTGTAGAGCCCGGACAAAGAAGCTAGTGACATTCCAACTGCAAAGGCGGAGCAAAATCAAATGAGCAATACGTATTGAGAGTGTCTCTCTCACCAGTGAGGCTGTAGAGTATAAACGCCGTGAGTGATCCCGTCGTCATTTTATCGTGCAGAGTTAAGTTTGCACCATACACAACAACAGCAACAATTGAAAGTGTAGACGCACCAGAAACTGTTCCGGCAAAAATTCCTCCAACCAGCTGAAAATTTCTTAAAAGTTTAGGAACGTAACATGGAGCAATAAAAGACTTACGGCTCGTCTAATTCCAAGCTTTAACGTGTAGTCCACTTTCTCGCCATAACGAGCGCACTCGTAGCTCTCTTGAGCAAAGGATCTAACGGTCCTCACCGCTCCAAACGCCTCCTGCAACATCGCAATTAAGCTGATCAGCCTAAATCGCATGCATACGCAACACTTACCTCTGCTATAGCGCCCGCAGCCGCAGCTGCCGCCTGCGTTTTGTGCGAGAGCTCTCTAACGTAGCGGCCGAATGCTCTGACGCCGAAAGAAATCGCTGGAACAATCGCCAGCGCCAGCACTGCGACCACAAGAGCACATTAGACAAACTTCCGACCACTCAGTGAGTGTCAAAACAAAGCATACACACGGGTAAGGCGCCACGACGTCTCGAACATGAATCCAAGGCCAACCAGTGACGTCCCTAAACTTCGTAGACCCTCCGATAAGTTGACGGTGGCGGCGTTTTTTATTATCTGAGTGTCTTCAGAGAGCCTACTCAAGAGCTCTCCTGTTCTTGTCACGTCAAAGAAGGCAATTTCCTGAAGCAAAATGGCGAGATCTCTAGCTGACCATACGCAATGCTCTTACTTACCTGCGAGAGGAGATGCGAGAACAAGTTCTTCCGCAAACGAGCGACAACTCGCTCGCTTGCAGCGGTGAAC